ATGACATCGACATCTCTCAAAGTTTTTATATTCCTAAGATCGATATAGAGTACAGTGTTGCTACAGTACCACGTCGGTATTAAATAATTTTGATATCAGCTAAATATTTCCAATACCATATTTGAAATTCCAGATCTATGTTTCAACCTTGACTAAAAAAAGTGATGTCTTTAAAGACAACAAGCACTAAAAACTTACTGAAGTACATGCACCAAAAGCTTGGAAACACCCATGCTGCTATCAGTAGGCTTCATCATATACTTAATTACACTCTTAGTCCCTTATCACAAGTTAAAAATTCTCGGTGAAGATTCAACGATAGATACGCTTCACTTTCTAATTTATTATTTGATTCAAAAACGATCTTCTAAGGTATCACGACATGATGCGCAAGTTGTCATAACATCTTGTTGTAGGGTGTATTTGATTAGGTGTAGCTCGAATTTCATATGCATTCATATTATATAATTCCAACTCTTCTGTCAAACCACTCTTCAATTTGAATGCAGTAATAGTTTTTCTAATTTTGAGCCATTTTTTGAGTTGTAACAACACCCAACCAAAAATATATACTGAAATTTGGACCAAAGCAACATTGACTCCAACTTACTAGATTACTACTATCCAAATACGCCCTTAATGAAATCATAAAAATAATGGCACAATATATCCAATTGAAGACGATTTCAGTGATTGAAATTATTTCAATAGATATAATCTTTATGAAAGATCTCAAATTTGATGCATTGCTTGTGGACATGTTTTTCCTAATTTTCTGAATTTCGTCATTGTGATCACCATTTCTTATAGATAAGACAACTTAATGATGTTTATGACTGGAAAATGAAAGGATTCATCGAGGAAACGTAGTATAGATTTATGTCCTGCCTTGTGTAAACTAATTGTTGAGAAGATAATTAACAAAGTCGTCAGTAGCAGAAATCATTGTTAGGCAAGTTCAATATTGGACCATGACTTGCATGTTCTAGAAAAGTTTTGACAAATGAAAAAAAAAATATTGTGAAAATGTTATTTTGGAAAAGAAGCCTCTAGTGTCAGCAATATGAACGCAAGTTGATAATCTTTTGACAACTAATGCCTATGTTGAGTTTGTGCTTGTGAGTGAAACTCAGTGTCCTACAGCCAATTTCGTTCAGTCACATCTGTAGAAAGAGATAATTAAGAGAGCAAAAACCCTAACTTCATTGATTTATTCAGATACTAGAGAGATATATATATAGTCATACAAATAGGGGTATGGTTAACGGGTCACAGCCCATTAACCCAATACCCAATAGACTTAATCTAACACTCCCCCTCAAGCTGGAGCATAAATATCCACCATGCCCAGCTTGTCACATATAGTAGAAAACACCTTTGAAGAAGTAGCCTTGGTAAGAATATCAGCAAGTTGTTGTGAGGACGGAGTGAATGTGAGAGATACTATCTTCTTCTCCCAAGCATCTCTGACAAAATTGCAGTCAACTTCAATATGTTTTGTCCTCTCATGAAACACAGGATTCTGTGCAATATAAATGGCAAACTGGTTGTCACAATGCATTGGCATGGGTCCAGACTGAACAAAACCAAGCTCTATCATAAACTTTCTTAGCCACACCATCTCACAAGCAGTGTGAGCCATTGCTCTATATTCGGCCTCTGCACTAGATCGTGATACTACATCTTGTTTCTTACTTCTCCAAGTCACAAGATTACCTCCAACAAAAGTACAAAATCCTGAGGTTGACTTTCGGTCTCCCATGTCTCCTGCGTAGCCAGCATCAGAGAAAGCCGAAATGTGAGTATGCCCATGCTTCTTATATAACAATCCCTTGCCAGGACAACTTTTGACATATGCCAAAATCTTCAGAGCTGCTGTCCAACGAACCTCTCTAGGTTTGTGCATAAATCTACTCAGCACACCTACTGCAAAAGTATATCAGGTCTGGTAACTGTCAAATATATTAGCATCCCAATTAGTCTCCTATATCGTGCAGCATCATCTAGTAGAGAGGTATCATCACGCCACAAATCAACATTTGCCTCCATTGGAGTGCTTGCAGGTTTGCAGTCCAAGAGACCTGCTTCTTCTAGTAAATCTAGCACATACTTCCTTTGAGACAACAACTGACCATGTTTTTTATATGCAACTTCAATCCCAAGAAAATACTTTAGCTTTCCCATGTCCTTAGTGACAAAATGACGGTTTAGATACTCCTTAGTCTCAGCTAAGGCAACAGAGTCACTCCCAGTCAGCAGAATATCATCAACATATACGGCTAAAATAACCAAACCAGTTGTTGTGCGTCGAAGAAAGACAGAGTGATCAGACTGACAACGTTGAAAACCAACATTAGAAATAACCTTGCTGAAGTTATCAAACCAAGCTCGAGGACTCTGCTTTAACCCATAGATGGCCTTTCTCAGCCTGCAGATAAGAGTCTGCAGACAATATTCTCCCCCTGAGCAACATACCCAGGAGGTTGCTCCATATAAACTTCCTCGTCCAAATCACCATAAAGAAAAGCATTCTTCACATCTAGTTGATGCATAGGCCAATCCAGATTAACAGCCAGAGAGAAGAGAATACGAATGGAGTTTAGACGCGCAACAGGAGAAAAAGTCTCAAAATAATCAATACCATATGTCTGAGTATATCCTTTAGCAACTAGGCGAGCTTTATATCTATCAACAGACCCATCAGGACGATATTTCAAGGTATACACCCATCTGCAGCCAACCACAGTCGCTCCAGCAGGTAGAGAGACCAAATCCCAAGTCCCTCTAGAAAGCAGTGCATTCATCTCCTCATCCATAGCCTGTTTCCAGGAGGGTACTAACAAAGCTTCCTCATGTGACCTGGGTAAAGATATAGTGGACAATGACAAAGCAAACTGACGAAATGATGAGGTGAGACGGTCATAAGAGACAAAAAGAGAGATAGGATATTTTGGGCAAGACCGTTTACCTTTACGAAGAGCAATAGGAACATCTAAGTCAGAAGAGATATGAGGCTCGACATGAGATGGACCTGCAGCTGGAGAAGAAGAGTCAGCAGGAGCAGAGACAGGTGTATGTACTTTAGGACGGCGAGAGTATGTCAGTAGAGGCTTTGGTGCAGTAGCCTCAGGAGCAGATACCGGAATAGTAGTGGGAGCCGTAGAAGGTAGTGGCACCTGTGGACTGACAGAGGTAGTGGAACCAGAGGAAAAATATGGGACAGACTCAAAAAAGGTAACATCAGCAGAAACAAAATATCTCCTGGTGGTCGGATGATAGCACCTATACCCTTTTTGAGTACGTGAGTATCCAACAAACACACACTTAATGGACCTAGGAGACAATTTATCCAAACCAGCAGTCAAATCCTGAACAAAACACGTACAACCAAAAACTTGAGGAATCACAGAAAAACGTTTTTTAGCAGGATAAAGACAGTGGAATGGTATCAAACCATCAAGAACAGAGGAAGGCATGTAATTAATCAAATAACAGGCAGTGAGGACAGTATCCGACCACAAGTACTTTGGAATATTCATATGTATCATCAGTGTTCTAGCAACATCGAGAATATGTCTATGCTTCCTCTCAGCAACTCTATTTTGTTGTGAAGTGTGAGAGCATGAAGTTTGATGAATAATACCATTAAGAGCATAAAATTTTGAAACGTCATTTTTCATATATTCCAAAGCATTATCAGTACGAAGAATATGAACAGAAGTAGAGAACTGGGTTTTTATTTCATTATAAAAAAGTTCAATAACATGCGAGACTTCAGACCTCTCTTTCAACAAATATAGCCAAGTCATGCGAGAGAAATCATCAACAAAAACAATGAAATATCGAAAACCCTTCACAGAGGGAACACGACAAGGACCCCAGACATCAGAATGAACTAACTCAAACGCAAAACTACTGCGTTTATCGACACGACTCTGAAAAGAAGCACGATGGTGCTTACCCAGTTCACATGACTCACAACCTAAAGAAGAAAGGGAAGACTGAACAGTAACTACCGATCTAAGTTTCTGTAGTGAAGGATGACCCAGACGCCAGTGCCACAGTAAGGTAGAATCAGGCTGTGCTGCAACAAGACCAGCACCCGGCACACTGTCGTCCAAATAGTACATACATCCTCTCTCATGCCCCGAACCAATCGTCATCCCAGTTGCTAGGTCCTGAAAAACACAATAAGAAGGAAAGAAGATGACTTTACAGTTATTGTGCTTTGTAAACTTGCTAATGGATAATAAGCTAACAGGGAATTTAGGAGCATATAACACATCAGTGAGTTTCAAAGAGGAAGTAGCATGAACTACTCCAGCACCAAGAACTGGAGAAAGTGTACCATCAGCGATGCGAATAGAGAGAAACTTATTAGAAAGATGTAAAGAAACAAAACAATCATTTATACCTGTCATGTGGGATGAGACTCCAGAATCTAGTACCCATGGTTCATGAGGAGAAGCTATGTAAGCATCCATACCTGAAGAGGATGCATGAGTAGCCGAATGACTGTTCTGAGAGATCTCTAGCTGGCGTAACCTCTCATAATCTGCCTGAGAAATCTGAACAGTAGTAGCTGGATTACTAGAAATAGTAGTAGAAATAGGTGAGCGAGTCGACTCGGCATCGGCTACTTGGGCCCATTAAGGACGACCAAACTTCTCCCAGCATTTCTCAGAAATATGATTGGTCCTCCCACAATGACCACACTGACGTGAACCCCTATCAGAATCACCCTGTCTCCCACTAAAAGAGCCACGTCCTCCCAAAGAATCACGACCTAAGCCAACAAGTTCTCCCAAACGCAGAAATTCATTTCTGCGTTTCTCAAACGCACACAATCTGTGCGTTCGTCAACAGACATCGAACTCTGAACGCAGAGTTAAATCACGAAACGCACCCATAACGTGCGTTATTCAACAGACTCAGCTATGTCCCGAACTCTGAACGCAGAATTAAATTTCAACGCACCAGCAGCCTGTGCGTTTCCAAGTTCAGAACACACGAGGCCCGTGCGTCTCAAATGCATCAGCTACTGCAGGCTGATGCATCTCCAGTTCGTCTATCAGTCCCTTTAACTCACCAAAGAACTCCGGAACTGATCTATCTCCCTGTTTGAGCGTAAACAGTCGCTCATAAATCTCAAATACACGGGAAGCATTCTTCTCATTTCCGTACATAATCTTCAGGCTGTCCCACATCTCCTTCGCAGTGGTTAAGAACATAACACTGCTACTAATCTGTGGTTCCGTGCTGTTGAGGAGCCACGTCATAACACAATAATCAGACGAGAGCCAGGAACTGTAGGTGGGATCTGTGGTGGGTGGAGGAGAGGCCAGAAGATGTGGAAGTTTGCTCTGAGCGCCAATGAAGATGCGGAAAGCCTGAGCCCAGAGTAGATAGTTTGTACCATTCAATTTTATTGTAGTCCCCAAGACTACCTTGGGCGCAGAAGTCTGACCAGCAGCAGCAGAGGGAGATGTAGAAGAGGAGAGATCTGTTTCCGACATTGTTGCACAATAGTAGTAGGCAGATAGTAGTCAAATAATCAGGGCAGTAGTAGAGATCTGTTCTTTAAACATAGACTAAGAGCAGATAAAAAAAAATAGACAGTAGTAGATGACCGGATCGGGTCATGTGTGGCCTCGAATCACCTATTCAAGGCCATGGAAAAAGAAGGAACAAAACAAACGGCGCGACACTGTAGCGGCGCGGTTACTGTAGTGGCACGGCTAGTGGTGGCGATAGACAGTAGTAGATGACCGGATCGGGTCATGTGTGGCCTCGAATCACCTATTCAAGGCCATGGAAAAAGAAGGAACAAAACAAACGACGCGGCACTGTAGCGGCGCGGTTACTGTAGCAGCGCGGTTACTGTAGCGTGGCGGCTAGGGTTTCAAGCTCTGATACCATGTAGAAAGAGATAATTGAGAGAGCAAAAACCCTAACTTCATTGATTTATTCAGATACTAGAGAGATATATATATAGTCATACAAATAGGGGTATGGTTAACGGGTCACAGCCCATTATCCCAATACCCAATAGACTTAATCTAACAAGTATTAAACAGTTTAATAAAATAGCGGCACTGCAACAAAAGGTTGGGTATGCTCACATTTATTTGATATATGCAAAAGTGTTGTGTTAACTGATATGGATTAAACAACAATGACAAAAATAAGGGAAAATCTTTTTTTAACCCAAAGTTTTACTTCAACTTATTTTTAAACCCATCTTCTTTCATTATGATCCATACACCCAAAATACAACACCCACTTATTTATAAACCTAAAGTATCACTTATTTATAAACCCAAAGTATCAAATACACCATATTTCTGGTGCTCCTCCCACTCAAAAAAACCCTAAAACACTCAAAAACACTCGACTACTGACGCATCGTGTTTATTGGCCGATTATCCACCGCGTCGGGCTGTCCTCGTTGAATTTCGAAGCTTCAGGCAAAGTATAGCACTTTACGGGAAAGTATAGCACCTTATGGCCAAAGTATAACACCTTATGGCAAAGTATAGCACCTTATGGGCAAAGTATAGCACCTTAAGGTCAAAGTATAGCACCTTATGCTCTCTAAAAATTCTGCACATCAAGTTGTCGAGAACCATTTTAGTTTTTTTCCCCGCAACGAAAACATTCGACGATCGACGCATCGTATTTATTGGCCAATCATCTACCGCGTCGGGCGGTCCTCGCTGAATTTCGAAACTTCAGGCAAAGTATAGCACTTTATGGGGAAATATAGCACCTTATGACCAAAGTATAGCACATTATGACAAAATATAGCACCTTATGGCAAAATATAGCACCTTAGTCGAGGTGGATAAATGATCAAGCAACACATAATATAGGTCATCAAGTATTTGCATTGCTCTGAAAGAAACAAATTTGGTTTAACCCAATAAGTGGCAGAATTTCAAGAGATCATAAGGTATTATACTTTATCAATATGGTGTTATAATATTGCCATAAAGTGCTATGGTTTGTCGTAAGGTGTTATACTTTATCAAGAAGTTGCTATACTTTCTCGTAGAGTGATAGAATTTTCCAAAAACTAAAAAATTGAGCGAGGACCTCTCATCGAGGTGGATAATCGATCAAGCAACACATAATATAGGTCATCGAGTGTTTGCATTGCTCGGAAAAAGCTGATTTGGATTATCCCACTAAGTTGTAGAATTTCCAGAGACCATAAAGTACTACATTTTATTAATAAGGTGCTATACTATTGCCATAAAGTGATATACTCTACCATAAGGTGCTATACTTTATCAATAAGCTGCTATACTTAGCCATAAAGTGCTATACTTTTCTAAAAGCTAAAAAATTGAGTGAGGTCCTCTCGTCGAGGGGGATAAAAGATCAAGCCACACATAATATAGGTCATCGGGTATTTGCATTGTTATACTTTCCCGTAAAGTGCTATACTTTTCCAAAAGCTAGAAAATTAAGCGAGGACCTCTCGTCAATGTAGATAATTGATCAAACAACACATAATATATGTCATCGAGTGTTTGCATTGCTCCAAAAAAAACTGATTTGGTTTACGCAATAAAGTGGCAGAATTTTCAGAGACCATAATATGCTATACTTTATCAATAAAGTGTTATATTATTGCTATAAAGTGTTATACTTTGGCATAAGGTGCTATACTTTATCAATAAGCTGTTATACTTTCCCATAAAGTGCTATACTTTTCCAAAAGCTAAAAAATTGAGCGAGGACCTCTCGTCGAGGTGGATAATAGATCAAGCAACACATAATATAGGTCATCGAGTGTTTGCATTGCCCAGAAAAAAAAACTAATTTTGATTATCCCACTAAGCTGTAGAATTTTCAGAGACCATGATGTAATATATTTTATCAATAAGGTACTATAGTATAGCCATAAAGTGTTATACTTTTCCATAAGGTACTATACTTTTTCAATAAGCTGCTATATTTTACCGTAAAGTGTTATACTATTTTAAAAGCTGGAAAATTGAGTGAGTACCTCTCGTCGAGGTGGATAAATGATCAAGCAACACATAATATAGGTCATTGAGTATTTGCATTGCTCCGAAAAAAACAAATTTGGTTTATCCCACTAAGTGGCAGAGTTTCCAGAGACCATAAGGTGCTACACTTTATCAATATGGTGTTATACTATTGGCATAAAGTGCTATAGATTGCCATAAGGTGTTATACTTTATCAATAAACTACTATACTTACCTGTAAAGTGCTAGGATTTTCCAAAAACTGGAAAATTGAGCAAGGACCTCTCGTCGAGGTGGACGATCAAGCAACACATAATATAGGTCATTGAGTGTTTGCATTGTTCCGAAAAAACCGATTTGGATTATCCCACTAAGATGCAGAATTTCTAGAGACCATAAAGTACCACATTTTATTAATAAGGTACTATACTCTGTCATAAGTTGCTATATTTTATTAATAAGCTACTACAATTTCCCATAAAGTGCTATACTTTTTCAAAAGCTGGAAAAGTGAACGAGGACCACTCGTCAATATGGATAATTGATCAAGAAACACATAATACAAGTGCTATACTTTTTCAAAAGCTTGAAAATTGAGCGAGGACATCTCATCGAGGTGGATAATTGATCAAGCAACACATAGTATAGGTCATCGATTGTATGCATTGCTCCGAAAAAACTAACTCTAGTAGAGAAATGAATAAACTAGACGGAACAAACTAGACGAAATTTTTTTCCGTCTAGTTTTAGGCAAGCTAGATGGAAAAAATTCCATCTAGTTTGTTCCGTCTAGTTTGAATCAATCTAGACGGAAATTTTCGTCTAGATTGTCAAACTAGACGGCTTTTATTTTATTTAAAATATTTACTCAACCTAGACGGAAATTCCGTCTAGGTTACATCAACCTAGACGGAAATTCCTTCTAGGTTGCCTTAAAAAATTAACAAGTCTGCCACTCTTTTTTCATTTCCCCACTTATTCTTTTCATTTTCCTACTATTTTTTCTCCCCTCTCCGTCTAAAAACACCCAAACAGTTCAAACCCTCTCTCTCTCACTCTCTCTCTCTCCAAATTAAAACCCCAAATCTCTCTCTCTCTCACATCTCCATGCCGCCCGACGGAGCCATCTCCCGCCGCGTCGAGATCCCCCTCATCCCCCCTTCACCTCCACCGCCGGCGCCACCCTCTCCACGCCGGCCTCGTCCACCTCTCCTCCGCCACCCGCTCCGCCCGCATCCCCATCCTCGTCTCCTCCGTCGCCTACCGCCTTAACTGCCGCTTAAAAATGATTGTATAAAATCTCCCCAACTGCCGCTTAAAAATGATGTCCCCTCTTCTTTCGCTTTTTCTGTTTCGATCTCAATTCCCCCCCAAATTCTGTTCAAATTCACATCCCCATCCTCGTCTCCTCCGTCGCCTACCGCCTTAACTGCCGCTTAAAAATGATTGTATAAAATCTCCCCAACTGCCGCTTAAAAATGATGTCCCCTCTTCTTTCGCTTTTTCTGTTTCGATCTCAATTCCCCCCCAAATTCTGTTCAAATTCATCGAGTCCTCAGCTCCTTCGATCAGATCTAACATTGAGTAACGTTTCTTCCTTCGATTTGATCTTCAGTTGTCGATCTCATTTTGTTATTGATTTTTTATATTTTCTCCTTTTGTTTTGGTTTTATAGATCAGAGGTATTATGGCTCACAGAGTGGATCACGAGTACGATTACCTGTTCAAGATCGTGCTGATCGGCGATTCAGGGGTCGGGAAATCAAACATCCTGTCGAGATTCACAAGGAATAAGTTTTGTTTGAAGTCCAAGTCGACGATTAGGGTCGAATTTGCTACCAGGACTCTTCAGGTGACATCTGATTCCTTTGATCTGCGTTCTTGTTCGATTTTATGTAAGGTTCCTGCAAATTATGCACTTTTTACATTAAATAAATTGTTTTGTGCGTTCTCTGTCTTTGCAGTGATTATAAAATGTGATAATATATGTGAACTTATTAAAATTTGTGGTATATTGATAAAAAGATCTGTTTAAATCCCTTAAATTCACCAGCTCGGTGTCAATATTAAGTTGGACTTGAATGTAGCAAGTAAAATCATGTATACATTGCTAGATATGCCTATGATGGAGCTATTCTTTTAGAAAAGCAATTCTTTGCATTAATCGGGCGATTTAGTATTCAGTCAAAAACATGTGAGGGAAAAAAGACACCTTCCTTTAGATAAAAGGCGCAAAGTATCAATTTTATTATATTTGCATAATGTTTACAGCTGTTTTAGTTATTTGTGTCTTAAATCCTTCCAGATGCTTCAATATTTTTGTACAGTCTCACTAAAAGGAAAAGAAAACTTATCTTCTATCATTTTACAACAGTTGCAATGTTGCATAATATATGTATAGACTAAAAGGAAAAGAAAACTTATCTTCTATCATTTTACAACAGTTGCAATGTTGCATAATATATGTATAGAAAATGGCATGAGAAGCTTGAGATTTCTATCATTTTACAACAGTTGC